ATTACTAGGATCTTTTCAACCTTATATATCAGTGTTCAATTTACGTGCTTTGTTCAATAAATAATTATTTAGTATGCTTTCATTTCTCCTTTGTTAAGATCGGTGGCAGTATAGGGTTAATTGTCGAATCTACTTGGAGTCGTCCTTTACTTGAACCTTACAGACAGCCTGTCCCTCTCAATCACAATCTCATGGGCTCCTGCTGCAAATTACAATTCGGAAGCTCATAATTTTAAAATCAAAATAAACTAATGATTTTGATATTAAAACAAGACATCTACAGGCGTCAAATTTCTAAACCGCTGTCTCAGTGCTTAGATAATAGCTAAAAATTGTGAAATCACGATTCACGAAACGTTGATGCTCCGCGTAATCCGACTTAAAAGAATAAACAAAACCTAGCACGCTGATTGGCTGAGAGCCGGAGCGTTTTGAAAGTACGCCTTTAGCTAAATCGATGCTACAAAAGTTTTGAAGGTGCCAAAAATCGCTGATCGTACGCTAGACGTATCTTCTTGAGCTTAAGTTCAAGAAATCACGTCCACTTAGCAATGTTTGAAAGTACCTGCCCTGGTTTCTGAACATCGCGCGACAGGAGTTATCATTCGAACTTGCCACTTTGCAGAGTTTCTCACTGTGTTGTGCGCCTTCAAGTTGAACAGTGTGACATGAATGTGTGTGAAAATGACTCCAAAATATTCGGTTCCACCTCTATAGTGGATCGGATTGAATGATTTTGAATCGCCGCACATTTTTTAACGGGAACCTTGCCATAATATAGTGAACAGTTCTATTCTTTTAAAATTATAGAATGCAAAGGTTTTCTGTTTCGTTTGTTTTTTCTCGTTACTTTGGTTTTAATTTTTCTAGAGCATATTTATATTCTTACTTCTGATTGTATTTGAATTCTATGAATAATTTTGAAATGAAGATGGAGTTGGCTCCAAAAAATACGATGAATTCGCTTGGTGTTTTCTTTGCTTTTGAGTTCTTTTCGGAATAAATTGTCAAGTCAAGTAATGACATCAGTAGCTAATACTCAATTTTTTGAAACTTTAATAATCAGCCACTAAAAACCACGATAACAGTGTTCGGATTTTCCTTGTTGGATAAAGAAACTCTCTAACCAAGCCTTGATTGAATTTCCGCTGTATATTCGTTAATAACTGGTCATTGATACCGTCAGGCCGCGTAAACGGCAGTTCCTCCTCCGTACTCCTCGATAGAAAAATACGCATAGACAGGCAATCTGAGGTTGCAAGGTAATTTCGAATGCCAATTAACGGAATTTCAGTCAATGGAATGGAATGGAATGTCTATGGCCCCGCCAAGTAATAGCTAGCTCATTGTGAACCGTTGACGACTTTACAGGTAGCAGTATCACCCGATACAGAAAGAGCTCGCTAGCAAACTTCAAATATTTGCTGTGATTACAACAGTCTTTATATGATGATAAAATGTGTATATTGGATAGAGTGAATCAGTTGATTGCGAAGTATCCGACCTCACCTGCTACTTCTAGGCTTCTGCACCCAGCCTCACATCAGTCTGGTGAAAGATATTGGTTTTATTGTCAACTATGCGTCTTTTAGATGATTATTGGTCTGTATGAATCGATTCCAAATTGCTACCATTTGTGGCAGTGATCAAATCATGCCAAATGATCAGATCGGTGATGGACCATATAAGATTCACATTGATTTATGTCGGGTGCTGATGCATCTTAGTGATCATTAGTCATAATGACCCTGCAGTATACACCAGAAGAGGCCATGTGAATAAATATCGCTATGTTTCGAGGTCCAGGCTGTTCATTGAGTTGAGCATTCCGACGATGAGCATATGAGCATGATATGTGGAGCTATAGGTTCTCTTCATACTTCAATTTCAAATTGCAGACGAGGCTTCTCTTACTGGAATGTATCGGAAACGAACAGGCATGATTGCCAGCTTTGTTTGATGTAATCTGATCACAGCTTTAGACAGTGATTAATTTTCCTATTATTCAATTAATTAATTAATTAATTAATTCCGGCAGTTGAGACTGAAACCCGATATTTTTCTTCGGAGAAGGTATATCTCAATCGACCGTAAAACGGAGAAGCTTTCAATTGGGAATACTGAATGCCGCATCAAAGCACCAAATGAATTGGGTGAATTTGTTATCAAACACTTGAATGATTAAGAACCGTATGCAACGTTTGTTAAGTTTGTGGATTTGCGATAACTACAAACCAATTAAACTGTTAATTAGCAAAAAAATTTAACGCAAGAGGAAAGCAGTAGATTTTGCAACATACATCAATTAAGATAAGCGAGTACAGAGAAAAATGATTGCAAGCCTACATACAATTCATGATGTTCAAAAACATTCCGAATCCTAATGTGAACACTGTTAATCTTTGGCACAATCTATGATTATCAAATAGACATCACACACCGAACGTGTCTGGTACTGATCATATGTTGATAATAGCGGACCAGACACGACGAGTGCAGAAAAAATAACGTGTTTGCTTGCAAGGATTGCACACCTGAAGCGAAAAAGGATGCTGCGATTATTCGTTTCGAAAAATTGCTGGATGTATGAGATTGCATGGAGTCAATATGACGTGTTCAATTGCCAGCAATGCCACACTGAAACAAATCGATCTGTTAGTTGCAGACATATCAACTAGCTAAAAAGTTCAATGTAGCTAAACGAATCATTCCGAAACGTTCGTTCGCCGTTTTCTCAACAGTTCGTTCGCCGTTTTCTCTAATTTTCGCTCAGACAGCGAAAGCCGTTGCAGCTAGCCAGATGATGTCATGGCAGGACCAATAATGAAAACCGAAAATTTACATGCAAGTTCGAATTTAATTGTTAATAAAAATGTATAATAGTTTAAATATTCCTAAAATTGCACAAATTTAAGTTATTATCTTCCGTGATATAATGTACGTAAAAACACATCCACAATTAAGCTTTATAGTTTTCGCTTTCAGCATTGCTGTCAGTTTTCTGGGGCATTCAGCGGCTGACACTTGGCGCGAAAGTTGAGAGGGAATCTGTTGTTTGCGTAAACTTAATGTCATACGTAAAGTTGGTAAGCTTATGAATAATTTGTATAGGTTTTTTGTGTTGTGTGAATAATCAGCCCCGAATCTTTAATTTGTCATTGCGTATCTACTGTATTTTGTACTACAATACATGCCCAAAACTGGCACCTACACCGTTGGGCGTTGTACGTGCAGTGCGAGTGCAGCAACCATTGGGTATAATTCAGACTTCAGAGCATAGAGTGAACCGATTAGTCACTGTCTTACATTCTATTGTGCTACTGTTACAGTATAACATGCGAGACCACAATTTTTGAAGTGATGGATTAGTTGACTTAGCCTTGATTTGATGTGACTTGATGACTTGATGTGACTTATCCACCCACAACAGGTAGCTTTGTTGTATGTGAAATTGAATCCTTTTCTTTAATTATTGTACTAGGTGTTATCAATTAGAACTATGTGCACGGTGAGTAGGTGACATTATTGAGTGTTTATTCAGATGATTTCATTAATTGGCCAGGGAAATTTTGTTTCATTTATGAGTGAATTCTCTGTTGTTTTATATTTGGAAGTTGGAACAATTATGAATGGATGGTCCACAACATCTAAACTCTAATGTCTTAGGACGTACGTCACCTTGTATAATCACATGAATAATACTCAACACTAGCCTGCCAAACAGAAATCACTGAGTATCAACAGTATACTTTTTGTTGGTGTTTAAATCTCTTCCCACAGACCTACTCGGGACTAACCTCTTTGAGACAATGAACCACTTTTGCTGTTCCTTCTGTAGTTTTTCTTCTAAATTTCATTCTAGCCAAATGGATTTTAACATGAAGGAGGTATCTTGTAGTCACTTCTCCACCTTCTGATATCTCCACTTCTGAAGGTCATAAGACGATATCTGGTCAATGACTGTGGAGAAAGTTACAGGACCTAGTATTCTAGTAATTTGTAAAAAAAATCAATAGTTAGGTTTTTTCCAGCTCATTGCAGCATGGGTGGTTTTTAGAAGCTTTCACTTTATATCTTCTTTTATGTCTAATTTTTGAGAACCATATTGAAAAACAATCCATTAAATTGTGTACTAGTACCTCCACAGCAGCACTGCCTACTGTAAGTAGTAAGCTTAAAGCCATTAGCTTCATGTAATAATAATTTTGGAATGTGAATATAATCCATTTGTTCCCTGAAATTTTCTATCTAGCAAGAGATCTTGATCACCAACTTTTGAATTATTTGGACAAAATACAGTTATTGAAAGCAGCACTTCTCATACTTTAAAATTTTTTAAAATGAAGTTCAAGGATTGCGATTAAATAGAGCATTATATTTTCTAAATTATGTAATTCTGGATTGCTTTTTGCAGCTGCAACGAATCGTGTTGGAGGCTGTTCCTGTGGGTATCATACAGCCCGTGGGCATCATACATCTCTTCTATGATGCAGTGTGACAACTCTCGAGAACCTGGTCTGCTTTTTACCTTTAAAATTTACATGCATTTTATATATTTTCAATTATAAAAATATCTGATATATTCAATTATCTGCACATATATTTACATGTATATAAATATAATTTACAAGTTGTTTATTTCTGATGTGTACCATGTTGTTGCCCTTTAAATGATATTAATTCATTACAACAAATAATGCTTGGTGTATAGACGTGGTTGTGATGGCCATCATCTTAACATGGAAGAGACATGAGGTTATTCTTAGGAAATTAATTCATCCTATAGGATATTTGATTCATGTAGGCTAATCGATTTATGCGTTATGTTATTATTCTCGCAAACAAATAATATTCCTATATCTCTATTATTGTAATTTTGGGTTATTTTTCAGGAACGAGCCCCAAGCAGAACCGTCTCGCCGTGGACGACCGTCATCGGCTGGAAGAGGCGACCAGAGTGACGAGGGAGGACTTGAGAAGCAGAATGGTACGAAGCATTGAAATGAAGAAGCCTACATGCCAGCCAACATTCATTAAATAAATTGGGCCGCCTCGACCCCACCCCACCCCAGTTACACTCCCCAGTTACACTCACTCTAGTTACACTCTCACTCCAGTTACACTCTCACTCCAGTTACACTCTCACTCCAGTTAC